AGATCGACTAACGAGCTTGATCGGATCAAGAGGAGGATTGAAACGAACAAAAAAGAGCTTACACCTCGACGATCGCTTCCCATTTAGTTTCGTGGCAACGTTTTATTTTTGTAACTGGAACGGTTGTCGATGATAGCGCAAATTTGCAACGTATTTTCATTTTGATTCCCGGCCTTCTGTTCAATTGACACCCCTTCGGATTTGATCTGCTGTGTATGATATTTTTTGGAGGTTACGGCAAATCGGATTTCTTGTGTAAGTATGTGAACCAAGTGTGTTCGAAGATGCACCAGGCACACAGCACATGAGTACACGGCGCGGAGTATGGCTGGAACACTGGAAGTTCATTCTCTGGACCTATAGCAACCGGCCGCAGAATACAGCTCCATCTTTCACCCGTTACATTTCGGAGTAGTACGCCTTAGCCTACAGAGGGGTACGGAATTCGCTAAACCCTTTGTGTTCTGCGCTCTTACGTTATGAATGTTCGACCCCTTTCTTTTTACTGTGCTTCTCCACAAGGGGATTTTTCGGTTGTGTTAGAGAGAGATCGAGGGATCGACCAATTGAGGGGGTTGGGGAGTTCTCAGTCCCAACCGGGGTAGGACATGCTCGTTAGGGGCACACGGACGGGGGCACACCCTGTTTCTCGGGTGGGTTGGCGTGGCGGCGGGATAGTTAAGTCAGGTGTTGCAGAGCTAGGTACGTGAACTTTGTTTATGCAATCTCTTGATGGAAGTTGTTTATGGGGGTCGGATGTGCTCTTTATTGCCACCGTCAAATGTTCGATGCACAGCGCGACCATTCTAACGCGGGGGGCTGCCGCTCGCGAGGCTCGCTGCAGCGCGCGCCACTTATCGCCACATCTCCGCCGGGGCCTGTAAAGCCCGGACCAGGTACTGCACTGCGGGCTGGGTCCCGTGGTGCCGTGGTGTACCCGCTCACGAAACGTTTTCTAGTCTTGCGACCTCGGTTAGACCAAGGTGAAAACTGAGGTTTAGAAAAAAATGCGTGATATCGCACCCACTGGTGTTACCGTCGTTGGTCTTCCCTGCGATAAAGGTTCATACTGGGAAGCCCGCTGTAGCCGTCGCTCGTATAATAGAACTGAAATAAATGTCTCGACTTTTATTACGAAGTCCATATTCTTTTGTGAAAACGCTAGGGAGGGCGAAAAGCCAAAAGTGAACGAGTTGTCCAGTATTATTTTTTTAAGTTTACACAATTATTATATCACCGTTACTTGTTAAACGGCAAAGTTTAGGAATAAGTGTGGTATGCTGTTACGGTGTGGAATGCCACTCTCTGAAACGGTATATAAAACTTAATATTGTACGGTGTTTCTTAAAGTGAGGTAGTCAGTCCAGCGTTGATGCTGGTGAGGCGATGCGGAAAGTATGGAGTGGGGAAGGAGAGACAATCTTTTACTCTTGGCTGCCTCGGATGAGTCGCTCTACTTTCTCGCTGTACTGCTTGTGTGGAGACGCGCTCTCACACATACACACACAGACATACACTTGATCTCTCTCTTCCTCTCGCACACACACCCTCAGCCGCACGCCTGCCTCTCCCGAGATTGGCTCCTCCCTTTAGGGATTGAGACATGCCTCTAGGAGCGCCTGCGGGGTAGGCCATCCCGCCGCGCCGCTGCGTGTCGCCGCTGCCTACCTGCCGGGCTGCAACGACCCGCCACACCACCAGGCGCGCCCGCCACACCATCAGGCGCACGCCCTTCACCCTAAAAACCGACATCATCAATTTTTGCTCGTGTTGTGCGCCGCCCAATAATCCGGCGCAGTGTGGCGCACCTGTCACGGCGGAGCGCCTCCCGCCTGCGCGGCGTGTTCGCGTCTAAATCTCTCTTGCGGGCCAATTCCCTCTCCCCGCTGCCGGCGCGCTCCCACTCGCCCGCTTACTCGCTAGCTGGCTGGCTGGCTGGCTGGTTTGCAGGCCTTTTGAGAAGAAACTTGCGTTGTGTCGTACCCATAAACTACCGGCAAAGTTTCGCAGCAGCAGCAGCAGCGAGAGGCAAGACGCTGGCAGCGGCGGCGACGGTGGCTGCGCTAGAACCGGTGGCGGCGTACGCTATTATTGTCGCCGAACGCCTCGCACGGTGAAAACGCCGTCTTGGTTTCCTCGTCGGATAAAGCCGAGTAAAGCCAAGCTACCCTTATGGAAACTGTACACCCTTTGGGATAAGGCGCCACAGCCAACTTGCTATGGGGGCGGTGGTGGTGGTCCTGGTGGTGACGTGGCAGTATAACGGCCGAGCTAACAGCCGGGTGCTGCAACCTGCAAATGAGGCGGCCATTCTTCACGGGCGTGTCCGGGCCGGGACGCCGATGGTATGTTGCGGGGGAGGTGTTGAGCCCGGCTGACACCTCGAGGAGGGGGGACTGTTCTCGCACGAAGTCGCTCGCTTACCTGGGACACGCTGGGCCCCTTCACTCCCCTCTCTCCCCCCCCCCCACACACACCGCCAAGTTGGACGTTGGACCGCGAGAGCCGCGACGACAACTTGGCTGTATCCCTTCCCCGCCCTCCTCCTGGCGCGGCTGTGAGGAGTACCCTGCGAAACGTAAACGGGCGAAACATCGGGCCCCGGTATCGAGCAGTCAGTTTAAGAGCCTCAAGCCTTTGTGCGTGGGAGGCTTCCTCCCTGCTCCCGCCCCCTGCCGCGGGGCGCGGCCCCACCTTGTCGGACACGAATGGGGAGTGGTTCTCGTGACGGCGCCCCGCGCGCCGCAGCCCGTGCGTGGCGGTGCTAGTCTCAGGCGACGCCGGCCCACATCGGTCACCATCGATCAGTCGGCGTAGTCTGCCGCCGGTCATGTTGTAGGCGAGTGGGCGCGCAGGGCCACGTGTGGCTGCGCCTCCGGCCGCGCCTCCGGCCGCGCCTCCGGCCGCGCCTCCGGCCGCGCCTCCGGCCGCGCCTCCGGCCGCGCCTACGGCCGCGCCCACCGGGTCAAAGCGTCGCTGCGGTGCGCCCCAAGCGCCCGGGTGATGGAATCAACCCCTCGTGTCGACAGCTCCGACTGCCTGTGTGTATTCCCGGTGGCTGACTCACGCCGCCACACACTTTCATAGGTATACTGTTTCGCACACGCGTGCGTCCGGGTTGCCTTTCTCGCACGGGGCCTTAAGGAGCCGTACGCAGCACAAAGATAGGTAAACCAGAACGCACCCGTGCACGCACGCGGTACAGCACAAAGTACACATAATGTGTACACATAATGTGCACATATTGTACTTTGTGCGGTTCAGTGCGCGGCGCGAGTCATTCGCTTGGTACAGACATGCACGAATAATGCGATACAGCAGGACAAAAAATATTCCACTGTTTGCAGCGGCGACAGCTATTACCGCCCTCTGCTATAGTGTGTCATTCTTTAACGGTGGCCTCGACGGCCTTTGTTGCTATCCCCGATCCCCGTTTGATTGGAGTGTTCTGTTCTGTACGGTTTGGTATCATGAGCGGCTGCTCTAGTCCCTGCGGCCAGTGGTCTGCATCGGAGTTCCCGGTGCGCACGAAAGACAACGCGTGCGAGTGGGATGGAGCTACGAGCGGTTCGAGCATCTCACTCGCACCTGACGTGCTCGGACGCTCTGGGGTCTGGTGGACCGGTCGATTCAGACCTGTGCCTGCGGCGCATTTGGGGTGTACAGTTTGTTGATTTAGCCCTATTCTCTATTAAAAGCACGGGGCGACTTTCACTGTAACGTAAATTGCAAACGCCTATAGCTAGTTTTATTTATAGCAGTTCACTGTACGACATAATTGTGCTGTTTCCAGCTAACAACTCTGTTAAAAAAGTACCTTTGAAACGACATGAACTCAAAAGCTCCACTTAGGTTTTAGTGAGATCGTTACTGCACACCTTGTTACAGTATTTCAGTTTCCTCTTCTTTTCCCTCATAATTTATCCTACCGGGTGTTGCATAAAAGACATAGGTGCGGGCGGATTTGCCTACCCGCTCTACCCGTAAGGCGCCATACACCCAGAAAAATGTTTTCTTATTTCAAGAATATTTTGACCTAAGATCAATTTTACTCTTTACACGAGATGATATTAGCTTTCATTTAAGAAAATTTTCTTACTTGAAAGCAAAAATTGTCTTGGAAACAAGGAAAAAAATAATCTTGGGTCACTTCTAGTACAAATGTACCGGGTGTAACTGAGAATGCGCAACAGTGTTGCGGGATTGCAAACCCGCCAGGGCTGCAGGGGCCATGGCGCCTTACGGGCTAACTGGGTAGGCAAACCCGCAACACTGTTGCGCATTCTCAGTTACACCAGGTACTTGAAACAAGAAATCATTTTTCTGGGTGTAGCCTCTTGGGTAGGCAAACCCGCCCGCACCTGTGTCTTTTATGCAACACCCGGTACATATGAACATTCAGCAATTCAACTATAAAACAAGATGTCAGTTTTAACTGTCAGACTCAAGTCTCCCAGTTTGAACTGCGAGACTGTTCAGTCTGTCGCTCTTTAAACTGAAAGTCTCCTAATGCCTAAAGGCAGTTAAAACTGATATACTCAAAAGTTTAAACAGACAGACTAGACAGTTTCACAGTTTAAACTGGCAGACCTAAGTATGGGAGTTAAAAGTGACAGCTTGTTTGACAGTTCGATTTGCATAGAAAGTAGTAACGTACGAACGTAGTTAGTAGTTATTTCTGCTGATCTCTTGATGCCGTGCCGAGCCCATCTGGCGTGGCAGAGATACCAGGCCTGCTGACCGCTGCGCTGCTGGATTGCAGGCGGGGTGGAGGGGGGAGTCTTAATTAATTTCTCTGCCAAGTATTTGTGCGCCGCTTAAAACAGACCGAATAATTTAATTAATTGCCGTCTGTGCAGCTCCTTTGACTGTTGTTGTTCTTGTTGCAGGATGGCGGGCCTGACGATGGAGGGCGTGCGCTAGGATGGGCGGCCCTCCTGGGGGCCTGGGGCCGAGGTCGGGGCCGGGGCCGGGGTCGGGGGCCTGGCTCTGGCTGGGCCTGGCGTTGCTGGTGCTGGGTGGGGCGGACGCCCTGACGCCCGGCACCACTACCCAGTTTCCCCAGCAGGCCTCCACGTCGACGGCCAGGTACCGACTGCCCCTGGGGGAGGCCACCGTGTCGCCTCGGGTCGTGGAGACGCGCTACGGCCGGCTGCAGGGCCTCCACCTGCCCCTCCGGGACTCGCACCGCCACCTCAAGAACCTCAACGTGAGTATTAGACCTCGGCGTAGGGCGGCCTCTGTGAAGTCAGTCCCCACTCCACTCTCCAGATCGGTCCACCTCGCGTCGCGGTCGCCTGCAGACCGAGGGCGCCGCAGGGCCCTAGGTATCACGCTGTTGTTGTACCGCGCATTTTACACAATATTTCTTTGAGAGAAAAACATGCACGAGGCAGAAAGAGCGCTGCCCGACCGCGTCTCCACAGTCCCCTTTGCGTGGAGTTTACCGCCGCCCGCGGCTCTCTCATGGAGCATGCGCTGCATGCCCTGTAAAGAATAAAATAAAACGGGTCCGGTTGCAGGTGACAAAAAGAGGGCTTTGCCCTCGGCGCTTTTTTCTTTGTCACCCTCCCTCCCTCCCAGCTCCACTGCCCCCGCGGAGTAGGGCGCCGTTGTCGGCATAATTATTGCGCAGGATGGCACGGGCAAAGGTCGCTCACCTGGCGGCGCCGCGCCCCCCGCGGCCGCGTCGTGGCGACGGGGGCGCGCAAAGTGAATCCGAGCGGCGGAGCGGCGGCGGGAAGTCGTTCCTGGCAAAGTAATTTGCCACAGCCACCAAGTCGTTGTCGTAATGGCCTAAATACATAAACCCGTCGGCATACAGCTATGAAAGGGACGCGGCCGAGGAGCGCGGGGAGCATTGTGATTTACTCGGGGAGGTTCCGTCCCCCCGCGCCCCGCGCCGCCGCCCGCGCCGCCCTGGGGGCCCTACGCGGTATGTGCGATGTATAATACTTGCGATGGCGTGGCGCGGCGTGGCGCGGCGGGCTAGGGTCTCAAGGGGTCCAGCGGGGCCCGCAAACTATCATCGGAAGGCGCAAGACCGGCATGACGCATGAGCCTGTCTGAATGCGCCGCTCGTTACCCTCCTCCCCTTTTCCCCTCGGGGGGTCCTACGCCGCCCCCCTACCCCCTCCCCTCGGGGGGCTCCTCCCTCATGCCATACCACCCGCACACTCGACCACCCCATTTTCCCCGCGAGAGGCGCGCCCCCGGCACGCCCCGGCCCGCCCCTCCGCCTCCGCGCGGCGTGCAGTCGGGTGGGCCGTAAACTTGGTTTCTCCCCGCCCGGCCCGCCGCGCCGAGCGCTCCATTCGCGCCATATTCTTTGCGTGGAAAGTTGGGCCAGGCGGTTTTCCGCTGTGCGAGTCCTCCGCTCCGCCGGCTGCTGCTCCAGGGCTACACGCCGGGGCTGCGACACAGCCGCGCTCCCCCTCGCTCAGCTGGCGCCCCCGTTTGCGTTCGGCGGGGTCGCGCGGGCGCGCGGGCGGGCGGGCCCACAAGGGATACCTACCTGCCGCTGCCGCCTGCTTAGCGGGACAAAAAAAAAGAGAGCTCGAGGGAAAGCAGCGCGTAGTAACAACAGGGCCCGCTCCGTCCGCTCCCTCTTCGTAGGCCGGCGATCCCTCGCCCTCGCCCCGGCTTTTGCTCTTGGTGTGATGGATGGACGCCGGCCTCAGGGTGAACCGCCCGGCCGGCCGGGGCGGTGGCCCCAAGTGGATGGACCCGGTCGGGGCGCCGCTCCAGCCCAGCAGCCCCAGCCAGCCCTGCTTCTCCCCGTCACGCACAAGGCGGATGCAATTTTCTTTTGTGTGCTTAGTTTATTTGTGTTCTCGAGACGTGCATATTGAGAGGGCGGAGAGCGGCCCAGCCCGAGGCGCATGGGCCGCGGCCGGTCGAGGAGCTCCTCATCCTCATGGCCGACTGCAGCTGCTAGAGTGGCTGGCCCGCTGGCTTCCTCGCCGGCTACCCCTTCGGCTGCCCCCTCGGCTGCCCCGCTAGCTGCCCCTTCGGCTGCCCTCCTGCCCCGCTAGCTACCCCTTCGGCTGCCCTCCTGCCCCGCTAGCTGCCCCCTCGGCTGCCCTCCTGCCAGCTGCCCCTCCGCGGCGCTTCCGAGTCGTGTCCGCCACGACTGTAGCCCCGGCATCGTTATCCAGCCATTCAATTATGCAGCCCGGCGGCCCCGTCCTCCACGGGCTCACCAGAGGTTACTTTTTTTGTTTGTTAGCGTAACAAACGAGGGGATGGCAAAAAGAAATCTTTCCCTCCTAAAAGTGGCAGGCATAGTTAGCCCTCGTTATTGTGTACGTCTGAAGGACGCGGCGCCGCTCTCGCTGCCGCAGGTGTGGCTGGGCGTGCCGTACGCCACGCCGCCCGTCGGCGGCAACCGCTTCAGCCCGACGCGCACGCCGTCGCCGTGGGAGGGCGTGCGGCCCGCCACCTCGCCGGGCCCCGCCTGCCCGCAGAGCCCGCCGGACGTGCACAACGAGACCCTGGCGCTGCTGCGGATGCCGCGCGCGCGCCTGCACCAGCTGCGCCGCCTGCTGCCCTTCACCAGCCGCCAGAGCGAGGACTGCCTCTACCTCAACATCTACGCGCCCGCGCAAGGTGAGTGCTGTGCCTGCAAACGGTGTGAAATGTGCTACATAAAAGTTACTGAAGACATACCGCTTTGAACGGTTTTGCGCTTCCTGAGGTCATCCGGGTCTTGTTTGGCGTCTGGCTTTGGAGAGGA